ATATATATCGTGTTCGTAATTTCAATCATACTAATATTAATTAATGAAATTGAATATAAATTCAACAGTATATTGGTAAAAGGATTTTGTATAATGGAAAAACGAAAACGTAAAATAAAATCATTTTGTAGTGAAATATAAGCTTCAGAAAAAAAAGCATTAAAAAAAACTTCAATATAGAAATGATCTCGGTGAACTCGTTCAAAACAATTTAAAGTTTAAAGATAAATATTTCTAATTTGTAAACCATCAGAACTGGGAATTACAATTATTCGGGCAGAAGACTAGCAAAACAAAGGATTGAGTCCTGTTAAACTATAGGACTCCAAAAAATCTTGGAAACTAAATATCAATTTAATAAAATATAGATTCAGATTAATATGCGGTGCAGTTAACGGGAAACAGTGTATCATGTGAAGAATCATAATATACAGTTTGCATAAAATTCAAATTACACCATATAGTAGCTTTTTAAATTTTCTTTCAATTTGTTTTCAATTTATACTGTATAACATTTTTTTTAATATCGAAAATTGTAACCAAATGGTCATAACTATAATTGTAATAATTCTATCTCAGAGTTGTGTATCGATCCTCTTGGTGTTGAAGATGGGACTATTTCCGATGAACAGCTATCCGCTTCAAGTGAATATTCTTTTTGGCATGGGGCACATCGTGGACGACTGAACACTAAAGCAGATAGCTTGGCAGCAGGAGCATGGTGTTCAAAAACCAACGACCAAAACCAATGGATTCAAGTTGACCTCGGCAAACTGCATAAGGTACATGGAGTAATCACACAAGGCCGCAACAACACACACAACCTCTTACAATGGGTGACGTCTTATGAAATTTTTTACAGTGTCGATGGTAACCTGTTTCAACCAATCAGGAATTCAGATTTTCAAGTAACTGTAAGTGTCATTACAATATTTCCCAATATATTTACATATACTATTTTTTTTCTTTCTTTTTTATTGATAATAATCACCTGTATATTATATCAAAATAATATCCGGAAACAAAATGTAAAAATTAGAAAAAATATTTGTGAAATTTATAGTTATTTTTCGTTTTCTTTTGTACAGAATATAATGTTTCATATTTTGTGATTCTCTTGTTTGCAAGTTGTCTTTTACATGTTTTATGAAATACCGCGTATTTTCGTACTAGATGAGGGCAGGAGCTGTGGGATGTTCCAGTACACCGGGGTACACGCCCTCCCCCCTCCCCACCTACCTCGAAAGATGTACTGGGTTCTTTATAGTGCACATTAGCCAATTATGTACACTTTGCCTACGGCTAAAACCCCAGAGACATAGGCGAGCGTGCTGTTCGAACCAACGCCGATATTATAGCTGCAACTTTACTTAAAATCTACACTAAAGTTATAATTAAAGGATAAAATAAAATGTCAGATCAATATCACATGAGGAACGTTAATAATAATAAAAGAATGAATGTTTTTTATTCTTTCTCATCAAACACTCACCACTTACCGCATTGGATGATGATGATTTTTTTTCTCTTTATGAGGCTTTAGGAGTGGAGTTGTTTTTGATCATGAAAAATGTCCTGCTTTGACAGGAAATAAATTCAGAACCATTGGATTAGAAGGCACGCATCTTAACCACTAAGCTATTCAATTACACTCATAAGAAATCTTAGTTATGTTATTAAAACTTTGAAAATTATTGAAAAAAAATGATTCCCGAAGCTTATGAAAGTAAAATGTTTTATTTTATTTCATTTATACATTTTGCTGAAGTAATTCATAATACTATCCGTTGCCAGACACAATTTCAGTATTTCTGAGGCTGAAGTTTTGCTGCAGGAGTATTGATTACTGTACTATACTATACATTCAGACTTGGAACCGGTATATTTTTAATTCGAAGTAAAAGTACCGATACCAGGAGTATAAATTTATTTATTTATTTCGGTAAAAATCTGCAACAGGCAGCCAGATGGTTGAAAACGTTGAACATATATCAAAAAGTCAACAACAAATGGGTACCTACTGTAGAATGTTGTGCCACTGGATATACTAATTTTTAGTGCTCTAAAAAGTAGGGAACGAATAGGGTTCACTTCCCAACAAAATCTGCACTAGTGCTGGTTTGTCAGTGTATATCATCCTGTGACCAGGGCAATCAAAGCTCGCTCCTTTGATCATTTAATTTGTAATTGGCGCCTAGGCATATTTTAGGTTTATATTCTATTTATATCCTATAAATATATAATATATAAAAGGTAAATACAGTGTTTGAATAAAGGACATAATAATACATCGTGTAGCATAGCTCTCAACGAATGTAGTCCTGTAAATAAATGAATAAAGAAATTGTGTAATAAAATGCCTCTGCCGGGACTCGAACCTGCGACCTCTCGCTATGAAGGCGAGCGTCATAACCATTAAATCACGGAGCTTCATGGTTGAACAGATTCAAATACCACCAGATACACTCCATTACACAATAGGTACGGCTAGAAACAAATAGTGGCATATAACATAAATCAAGAAAGCCGTTAACACTGTTAAATTATATATAAAATCATCAAAGAAAGGTAAATACAGTGTTCTAATAAAGGACATAATAATACATTGTGTAGCATAGCTCTCAACGAATGTAGGGCCTAGTCCTGTAAATAAATGAATAAAGAAATTGTGTAATAAAATGCCTCTGGCGTGACTCGAACCTGCGACCTCTCGCTGTCAAAGCGAGCGTCATAACCATTAGACCACGGAGGCTTCATGGTAGAACAGATTCAAATACCACCAGATACACTCCATTACACAATAGGTGAGGCTAGAAACAAATAGTTGCATATAATATAAATCAAGATAGCCGTTAACACTGTTAAATTATATATATATATAAATCATCAAAGAAAGGTAAATACAGTGTTCGAATAAAGGACATAATAATACATCGTGTAGCATAGCTCTCAACGAATGTAGTCCTGTAAATAAATGAATAAAGAAATTGTGTAATAAAATGCCTCTGGCGGGACTCGAACCTCTATATAAATCATCAAAAAAGGTAAATACAGTGTTCAAAAAAAGGTAAACATCACATGTTGAGTTTGTGGAACCCAGATGACAATTCTTTTCGACTTTGAATTTCCAACAATCACGATGGTATCTGTGTGGCTAATTTTAATAACTGGGCCGACAATTGTTTAATTACATATTAAATTAAATCATAACGTAAACATATAGTTTTATATAAGGTCTGTTATCATTATTTATATACATCTATATTATATTTAGTCCTCTGACTTTTTTATTCTCACGATTGCATATACATTTTTACGGGGAGGGTCACCTGAAGCACCGACAGTTACACCATTTATTGTATCGGAATGTGTTGAGAACGCTATGTTAACCTTTAGATGTGATATTTATAGAAGTTTGAAGGAAATTCGGATCAAGACACTGCTGTGACAAACATATTCCCTGACCCTGTCTACGCACAATTCGCCCGTATTCATCCGGTTGATTTGCATGGCCATATATGTTTACGATTTGAAGTTCTTGGATGCTCGAAAGGTAAATTAAAATAATTATGCAAATTAGATTTAAATTAATAATTGAGTATTGTGATAATGGTGACGCCATTGATGATTATGATGATTATGATGATGATGATGATACTGATGGTGATGATAAAAACTATGTTTTCATATTGTGATCATAAATTACAGTAAATGCTGTTGAAAAGAAGAATTCTGATCACGAATGAATTATTAAAATAAAATATTATGAAAATATTTATGCATCTCTCCAAACATTTATTACAGTACAGTATAGTTTTTCATCTTTCGTCCACAACAGAACAGCTAATGAAAAATAATATATATATATATATATATATATAATATACAGTATATATATATA